TGTGATTTTTTTTATATTCGAGGCGCCTAGAAGACCCTGTTATAACAAACTTAGAATTTTGGTAAAATATTGACAACGTGTACATATATGCTCTATGTGAGCAGCCAGCTAAACAACAGAAGTGAAAGTATAACAGGCAGTCTTCTACACCCACCAGCAGTTTCGCCCTTTGAAGCTAACGGTGATTTTCTTTAGAATATATGATAAACTAAGAAAGGCGCTGCTAAAAAAACTCCTACTATGCAATTAGGGGCAGGGTTCAGCAAGCATCCACGTTAGTTGTCCTTGTAATCTTCCAAATTCCGCACTTAGTTCACGTCCTCGCGCACCCTCCACTGTTACCTATTCTTTCCTTCCAGGTATAGCTTTCTTTGGAGTAACTCGCCAATGGAAATTAGATTGTGAACAAGTCTATCTACCTTCAAATGAAGATTGCATTCATCCTAACATTAATTTTATCAGCCTTTCATTTTACTCATCTCTCCCAAGCAGCTTTCTTCATGACTACGAGAAAGGATCATCGGATATTTAGGAGACTGCTTTAAACTTATTTTCTCCTGCCTCGTGTTCCAAAGGAACCACTATGCTTCCATAAACAATTTATTTAAATGATAGAAGTTATATGGACGCACACAGTCTATAGTCCTCCCATTTTTTTGCTACAAACCATCATGAAAATTCCATTCTGGTTCCTGAGATGTCGAGGCTTGACGTCCATTGGCGGGCTTCCACGATCTTTCATGCGCATTAAACTGACCTTTTATTACCCCATTCTGAACCGTCATTATATTATTAGTCTATCTAATCCTTTATCTTACTTTGCTAAGCAGCCTTTTCTTCTACAGCCTTTGTGAACACGAGGGCTCGCTGAAATCTTCCTCCATTTTCGCAATAGGAGTTTATCGCTGCTTACTTATTGGTTCTCAATTATTCTTCAAAGATCGCTTGCTATTTTTCTAAAAGGGCAAGCCTCTGGTGAATATGAAGAATTTTGCCCAAATTATCACTCATTTTTGCTCTAATTCTACGCTTGTTTAGAGCACCAGTGTCACAATATAACTTCAGTAATAAGGTTGTTCTGACAGTGTCTTCTAGGTTCTCACTATATAAGATGTATTGGTTATTTAGATGCGAAAGGGAGTGGGGTGTAGGTAAGCGACCAAACTTACTATCTGGAGAAAAAAGTGACATAATATGAGTGTTAAAGCTACTTGCGTAAGAACTAATGGCCTTAATTTGTATCTCAAAAGACAGGCTCAAGTAAATTCCACTACAGGCCTACTCCAGCAACAAAAATTCCACAGCTTATGTTAAGGGGCGGACACTGATCTACAGAGAAATATGATAAACAATGGATTTCCATTTGCAAAAGAAATATAATTTGGTGACAAATATTTTATTGTTATGGGATGGCGATACAAAAAGTATATAAGGGGATCTCCGATTATAAAGTTAATATGTTAAAAATGAATGATTTTTGAAGGCAACTACCGCAGAGAGGAAAAAATTCTGCGCCAAGATCTAATCGGCTCCGGTATACAAATTTCTCCACTATAGAAATGGAGCACATATCGTACTAAATCAAGTAGCCTTTCATGGTCTTCTAAAATCCCCAAAAGAATTACTCTGTCAACCTCAGAATCTATCTTAAATTTCAGCACTTTCAGGCATAAAGACTGAAACGGTGGGTTGTGCTGCTCACTGTTTTACTGTACTAAATTTCACACAGGAAAGTTAATTAGGACTGTCGCGATCACAGTAGCTCATTCACACACAATGGGGGATGTGAACCCTGTGTGCACATTCGTTCGCAAACGTAATAAAGCCTCATTAAGAACACGAAAAAGTAAAACGTTTTTTTTGTGCGAACCTTTTAGAGTCTTCTAGTAGTGAAGAGGAAGTACAAATAGTCCGTAAAAAGGAAAAGATCGAGTCGAATCCTCTAATTCAGCATGTATTTTCTATTTTCATGCCTTCTGATTATTCGAAGACCTCACATTTTGTAGCAAAAAGGAACAAAAGTTCTAGTGGGGAAGATTCCGATGAAGATATATCTACCTCGGTGGCCTTCAAGGCTAATTATCAGCCGGTAAATTATACTTGCTTCTTTAAATTTCTGCTTTTAGACACAGTCTGGTCCAAAGGATCAAGGCGCGACGGCCATTTCTGAAATTGACACCGATTTTAATCATGATGCTCAATCATTATTCATCCAGTCCCAGAAAATCGATAAGGCATGCTTTTCTCTTTTCGTTGACCGTTTTAGGAAGTGAAATCCAATCAGGACAAGGTTTATCGAGGACTTAACAACTACGCTCGGTATATTGAGCAGAAAGATACCGTCTTGGGCAACGCTGCTAGCGGTTTTAATAGAAAGGGTCCGATGCGGGCGCCAGCGCACTTACGTGCGACTGTTCGATGGGATTATCAACCGGATATCTGCAAGGTTTTTTGTGAAAATGATTCCTTAAAATGTAGGATTACAAAGAAACTGGTTTTTGCAGCTTTGGCGATAGTTGTAAATTCCTCCACGATCGATCTGACTATAAGCACGGTTGGCAAATTGACCAAGAAGTGGCCGAAGGAACTTATGGTGTAGAAGGAGTTGACGATCGTTATGAAATAAAGGATGACGAAGGGGATGACGACGCCGATGACCATCTGCCTTTAAAATGCATGATCTGTCGAGGCGACTATAAAGATCCAGTTGTTACTCGGTAAGAAATACTTTAATGCGTAATTTAATTTATCCATAGATGCAAACACTACTTTTGCAGTGCTTGTGCTTTGAAGCGTTTCAAAAAAACAGCCAGATGTTATGCTTGCACTGAAGATACGAAAGGCACATTTAAAATTGCAAAGGACTTGCTTGCACGCATTGCAGCTATCAAAGCAAAGTGCAAGGCCGTTTCGGAGGAGGAGGAAGAAGCGGAAGAGGCCGGTCACCCTTGTCATCACGACAAAGATGATCATCCTTGCAAAACTGTCCACGAACATGTTCACAATGAGCATTACATCAGCTCTTCGGAACTTGAAGACAGTTCTGATGATGATGCACTTTCGAGCAGCAAAACAAACTATCCTACTCTTACGCGCTTGGAAGGCGCCCAGCCACAGGCTCCGGAATATTGCGACAGTGATGAGGAGTCGGACTGATTAATTTACTTGTACATACTTATATTTTTAATATAAAATGAAGAATACTCCCCTGATTTTCTGTTTTTTTCGTTTTCCTGCATTTATCGTATAGTTTGCATTTGTTTAAGAACCAATGGACGATTTTTACCAATTATTTGGTTGTGGACCGAGCGACAACCTGCAAAATATACGATCGACGCTCCGAAAGGAGATGCTTCTATGTCATCCTGACAAATGTCAATCTCTATCAGCGGAAGAACAAAGAGAAAGGAGAGACCGTTATGATGTGCTCCATCGGGCGTGGAAGATTTTCGGCGACGATGACAAACGCCGTCGTTATAATGCCCTTTTACTCCAAGCAAAATTGCAAGAAGACTCAGCTCAACGGCCAATTCAAGCCGAAGTCCTGTTCTCCGACTTCTTAGGCGCAGCCGATATTGACTATAATTCTGTAGACCCAGAAGAAGTTCTTGAATACCCATGCCGTTGCGGTGGAGCTTATGTTATTGAGGGTGTCGCCGTGCTTGGTCGCATGCCTTTTGCTTACTGCTGTCAGTGTTCGCTTGCTGTGAAGATTATATACTCAAATGATTCCAGAGATAACTCTCCCAACTCCACTCCTCAAATAAATAATCACCGATGTGCTTGTTTTCTGAAACTGATTTGCTGTAATTTAATGTACTAAATACTGAAGTCGATCCGTGTTAAGGAAACGAACAACAAGAAACCGCAGCATAATCAGGATGCAGCCAGTCCTTCGGAGGAAGAGTGTGCCCCTTTTCAGTTGCCCACAGATGTGGCAAAAGAAACCACGAAAAGGAAGGCAATATGCTTGAAGACTGCCCTTGCCATCGTGGAAAGATGTGGTCGAAATCCGATTACCCCTGAGATGGTAGCGAGCATAGTAAGTCAGCTTTCGATACTGTCCTTCTTTTCCCTTTTGTTTTGGCCGTAGTTGGGAACGAAGTTTTTTGCTTTTAAGCTATTTGGCAGGTTTTATTTTCCTTCCCTCCTTCGCATTATGGTATCTCAAAATGCACGCCATCCTTTACAGTAACTAGCAATCTATGTATGCTACAGATATCCGAATTATTTTGTCATCGAACGCTGAGTATTCCAACGCTCTATCGTTGAGTCACGTGTTTGAATCTCAAGTCATACATACCTGGAGTTTGGTAAG